AAACCAAAGAGCAGCTGCAGAGAGACCAAAGAGCAGCTGCAGAGGGAACAAAGAGCAGCTGCAGAGAGACCAAAGAGCAACTGCAGAGAGACCAAAGAGCAGCTGCAGAGGGAGCAAAGAGCAGCTGCAGAGGGAGCAAAGAGCAGCTGCAGAGAGACCAAAGAGCAGCTGCAGAGGGACCATAGAGCAGATGCAGAAGGAGCAAAGAACAGCTGCAGAGGGACCAAAGAGCAGCTGCAGGGAGACCAAAGAGCTGCTGCAGAGGGACCAAAGAGCAGCTGCAGAGGGACCAAAGAGCAGCTGCAAAGGAACCAAAGAGCAGTTGCATAGGGACCATAGAGCAGCTGCAGAGGGATCATAGAGCCGATGCAGAAGGAGCAAAGAGCAGCTGCAGAGGGAGCACAGAGCTGCTGCAGAGGGACCAAAGAGCAGCTGCAGAGGGATCATAGAGCCGATGCAGAAGGACCAAAGAGCAGCTGCAGAGGGACCAAAGAGCAGCTGCAGAGAGACCAAAGAGCAGCTGCAGAGAGACCAAAGAGCAGCTGCAGAGGGACCAAAGAGCATCTGCAGAGGGACCAAAGAGCAGCTGCAGAGAGACCAAAGAGCAGCTGCAGAGGGACCATAGAGTTGCTGCAGATGCACCAAAAAGCAGCTAGAGAGGACCAAAGAGCAGCTGTACATTTACTAAGATTAAACTTTTGATCTGTCATCCATGTTATATTACGAATAAAATATTGACATTTGCCATCTCCACATCATTGCATTCAGTTTTTATTCACAATTTCTGTAGTGTCCCAACTTTTTTGGAATCCGGTTTGTATGTTTTTAGCATTTTTCTACTATTTTTATTATGTTTTTAGTATTATAGTAGCCTGATGCATGCTCAATAACCCAGGTAGAAAAATCCAAAAAAGTTCAATCTGGTCCTCTGGACATTAAAAAAAAAAAACAAAGCAAAAAAATATAGAAACATTTCGTCTCTCATCCAAAGGACTTCTTCAGTCTGAGGTGCTGTATTCAGCTCAGTCTCTGAAATAGCACCGTCTCAGAGTGGATCAACCAGTTTTGCTGCTGACAACCAGAACCAGCTGATCACATGGTCAAGAAGGACCATCAGCCTAACAATGGATCATTAGCACACTGATGGCTGTTTACTGTTCACAGAGGGCTGAGTGATACTAGCAATCACAGCATTGTAAGAGGGGGACAGTTGAACACGGAGGCTCCACCCCTGTTTAATGATGGACGATTTCTTTTCACAAAGATGGCCTCCTTTACTCCTCTCTTTACTCCTTTTTTGTTTTTTTGAATGTCCAGAGGACCAGATTGAACTTTTTTGGAGTATTATAGTAGGTTTTTTTTTTTAGTATTTTAGTTGTATTTTTTTAGTATGTTTTAGTATTTTAGTAGGATTATAATAGTATTCCTTAGTATTTTAGTAGTATTTTTAGTTTGCTTTTAGTATTTTAGTGGTATTTTAGAATGCTTTGAGTATTTTACTAGTATGTTACTAGTATTTTTAGTATGTTTTAGTATTTTTGATGCATGCTTTGGTATTTCTTCTTGTTTTTTGGGCGAGTCGAGACAGCTCTTCTCGTCCTCAGCATTTAATTGCATTGTTGACTCGATGTTGAGTTTGCATATGACAGATAAACCAAACCTAACCTGTCCAGGTGTCCCCTGCCTCTCGCACTGTGACTGCTGGATATGGACACCAATGACCCCCACAACCCAAAAAGGAAGAAGAGATACTGAGATACTTTTCTATTTATGCTCATTCGGATGGTACCATATTTTCCGGTGTATAAGTTGATCCGGAGTGTAAGTCGCATCAGTCAAAAAAAGCCTCATGAAGAGGAAAAACATATATATAAGTCACTTCGGTGTTGCATTTATTATGCGTCACCACTGACCCATCGAGTTTATTATGCATTTATTTCATGGTCAAAACAGCTTCATTTTGCCTGGGTGGAGCCATCCATCCATCGTGGCCGGAGCCGCTAGCTCTTCAGCGTTCCTCCACCTGCACCAGCTGAGTGAAACGAGAAAGAATGAAAGGACTCGCTGTTGCAGTTCTTAGAAATTTAAAGCGTCAGTCAAAACTTGTTATGAATTTGGAAAAAAGTATGCAAGTCGTTTCAACGTACAAGTCGCAAGACTGACAAAATATGAAAAAAAATCTGCAAACTATACGCCAGAAAATACGGTATTTCTAATTCTGTCTCTTAGTTCAGCAATGGGGGACAACAAAAGTAGTCGACTCCATGAAAGTTTATGTCAAAAAAGTTTACATTCAAGATATCCTGATTCATGCTCAGTAATCCAGGTAGCTCTGGACGGTTTATTTTTGTTGAAACATTTCGTATTTCATCCAAAAGGGTTCGTCAGTCCGAGGAGCTACAACAAACTCAGACTTATAAATAGCAGGAACCCTGGCGGGGGAGAGGATGGAGAACATAAACCATATGAGCACCATCAAACTGGCTGATCCACTATGTAAGGTGCTATTTATAAGACTGAGTTTGTTGCAGTTCCTCAGACTGATGAAGTCCTTTGGATGAAAGACTTTTCAACAATAAGAAACCATCCATATGACCTGACTGAACTTTGTTGGATTTTTCTACCTGGATTATTGCGCAAGAATCAGGATATTTAACATGAATGTTTTATTGGTCTGTAGGAACAACAGCTTGAGGAGAGTGTTAGGGAATTGCTGGTCAAAGTTCATGAATGTTTTTAACTACTATGGCTGAGAAGGTTAACTCTGCCTGTGAACCATATGTTTGGGTTAGGAGAAAGCTGGATGAGGAGCTGGGTGAGGCTGCAACGTGTAGCTGGCACTCCAAGGACGCCTCTGAGTCAGTGAGCTCGGCTAAACTCATAAGAATATATAGACAAGCTTCACACACATGGCATTCTCCTGACTGGTCTTCGTCTGTACTTCCTGTAGATCTGTGTGTACTTCCTGTATGTCTGTGTGTACTTACTCTATGTCTGTGTGTACTTACTGTATGTCTGTGTGTACTTACTCTATGTCTGTGTGTACTTACTGTACGTCTCTGTGTACTTCAATTCAATTCAAATTCAATTCAAAAATACTTTATTAATCCCAGAGGGAAATTATTTGTTGCTGTAACTCGTTATCCTCATTTCATTAAGAGATGTTATAGATGCTGATGCTGTAGACAGGAAGGATCTCTTGTAAAGGTCCATCCCACAGTGGATCCTAAGAAACTGGCTGCAGATGCTGTTCGATCCGTCCACCCAGACTCGGCTGGCCTCTCGGTTCCTCCGGGCTGTAGGACCACCTGAATGCAGAGCAGAACTCCTCCCAGAGCGATGGCCACTCCTCCCAGCAGCTTGTTGAGCTCCTCGTCGCTGCGGACAGCCAACTGTAGGTGCTGAGGGACGATCCTGTCCTTCCGCTGTCATGAGCTGCGTTTCCTGCTAGTTCCAGGATCTCAGTGGTCAAGCACTCGAGCACAGCTGGCAGGTAGATGAGAACGCATCCACAGAACATCTTTTTCAACTCACTTGAGATTTGGGGCTGTAGTTGAGATATTATTTGAGCTTTTGAGATGTTAATCAGATGCTGTTGGTTGTAGAAAACTGCCTTGTTGCCATG